TAGGCACCCCAGGAATTTCAGGTATCCCCTTGATCTTGGGAACGTCGGTGCGATTGAGATAGCGGATCAGAAAATATACCACCGCAACAGCGGCGAGGGCGAGGGTTTGGAAGGACATGGTGTGAGCGATTGAATTGGGAGTGGATTTGACTTTTTTTCCTGACGGTGGTGTCTGAAAGAAGTCTGGCGCTTTATACACCTCACCTCCGCGGTTCTCCTCGGCTTATCATGGCTGGCTATGCAGCAGTCCCCATGCAGCTAGACCTTGAAACTCGCAGTGGATTTGCGTCATGGGCCACCCGGCCAGCAAAGAGGACTCGGGCCAACTGCATTCGTTATCCGTTGCTGCAGCAAATAGAGAGTCGGCTGGCGTAGTTAGTAAGGTGATTCCCCGCACTTTCACCCTGGATGAAATGAACAAATGCACGAGCGCGAATTGGCTGGGGCGGAATTTCGGAATGAAACACCGCGACCCCGCTCTCAACGGAAGCGGAACCGGGGCCGAGATCGACACCTGCCCCAGAAACCAACCAGAAACTAGAAACCAGAAACTGCCCAGTGCCCACTGACATCCTTCCGCCACTATCCGTCCTGATGCTCCCGTCGGGCCGATACTGGCGCTTCCTTTAGGTCCGACATGGTATGGTATAAACTCCGCTGTTAAGACTGAGACAGTTTAAGGACCTATATGAAATCCTGCCTAAGATTGTACAGTACTTGCAAGTGTGCTTATCAGCATGATTCAAAATCATATTATCCTATTCGGCCGAACTCGATCACGGAATCATGACATTCACAATTTTCTCGTGCAACATCGATAGACAATACTCATCATGCAACAGCCCACCATAGTTGAAGCATTTCACCTCTCATCCACATTTCGCCCTTCACAGCCACCGGACATCCCCTCGTGCTCAGCTCATCCCGAAACCCCAACACAGATATAGTATCCATACCACATATTAGTGCATCCTGTCCCCACGGCTGGGTTCCAGGTTACAATGTCCTGCACGGTAATTCCCTCCTTCGTCGCAACAGTAGTGCACGTATCGCCCGACGCCACCAGGTAAAAGGTATTGCAGTTGGTCACCATGCCCGTCTGAACGGGGGTGGGAGTTGACACCGCAGCGGTAGTGGTGGTACTTGTGGTGGTGGTTGTCGCCGTTGATCCCACCCCAACGCAGACATAGTACCCCAGCCACAGGGCAGTACATCCGCTGCCGACGCCGGAGTTCCACGAATAAAAGTCGGTCAGGGAGATGCCGGCTGTCGTCGCAATACTGGCGCAGGTCTCACCACTCGCCACCAGATGGTACGCGTTGCAATTTGCGGCGATGCCTGGCTGGGTAGGGCTGGGGGCTGCGGCTGCGGCCGCGCTGTTGACTTTGGAGGCGGTGATGAGCGTGGTCGGTGCCGGAGATGCAGCAGGAGGAGCAATGGCTGCTACCAAGGGGGCAGCTAAAGTGAGAAAAGAAAGGTAGGAGAGATGCATGGCTGATGATTGAAAGGTTGTTGCTCAGATGCTTGATCTGTCGGGTCTGGTGCTTGTTCCTATCCACCTGTCGAAGGCAGAATACGCTTCCTTTTATATGCTGAAGCGCTGATTCCTGGTAAACTCAACCGCAGGTCACAAGATCCCTCTGGCATCAACAGAAGAAGGGATTCTTGCTCTTGGCGCAGAAACCTGGACCGATGATGATGAGCGTCTCCCCACCCCAAATACAACAGCCGCAATTAATGCAGGTCTCATATTCCGGGGCTCATCTGATGATCTGAAGCATGTGGTGTCCAATAGCTAAAGGATGCTCGAGATAGCTTCAGTCTTCATTGGCTGCCTGACTGAACCCCTACCCGTAGGTGTACCTTCTCATTGACCAAGATAAATTTCCTAAGGCACACTCGGGAAGCAGTCGGGCTATTGCAGGGGCTGCGAATGGCGATGATGTCGGGTCTCAGCCACCGCTTCCCAAGCGAAGCTGACATCCTGCAAAACAGTACATGGATGCTTGCAGTTAGAGTGACACGCCAATACTTCCAGGCGTCCCGTTGGTCGGATTCCGCGGATCGCTCGTATTGTGTCTCACAAGGGTTTTAGTTGTGATTGAATAGATCCAAGTTTTCGTATGGGATAGTTCTTTTCTGGTTCCTGCATCAGGCGCCTGATTCACCTGTTACATAAGTATCGCGGCGGAAAGCTTTTCGAGATAGTCAGCATAAGTTTGCAAACCATGTTTGAGGAAACTTTATGCCTATCAACTGCTCGATAAGCTCTGAGATAACTCAGGGCTCGGCAAGGAGCATGGACGTGATATCAGGCAAAGGGTCAAGAATTAAGTCACACGTGCCGTTCGTCAGGATGACTGCCTAAGCCCAGAGCCTTGTGTGACTCTTGTTCCGCGGATGATCGGCATATGAGCTCATATTGTCTAACATGCAGGTCTTCCTCCCGGGGATGAGGTGAGACAGTAGATGCAATCAGTCGTCGTCATAAAAATGCCCCCAGTCTCTTCCCAAGCCCTTGCTATGTAGTTCAGATGTCGCAATATGCGTTCAAAATTCGTTCTCTGTGAAAGAAAAAGCTTAGTTCGGGGCAGGCCTATAGTGAGGGGGAGTCAAGCCAAAGGAAGCGATGTACCTGACGAAGATTTATCACTCTCGGCCATCAACCTCAAGGTCAGTGCGGGGGCGGGGGGCATGCATCTAAGCTACTGCATGTCTCTCAAGCGGATCACAAGTAGGTAGTATTGAACAAGTGCAGCGTACAGCGTTGCATTCCGGTACCTCATGCTATGGGATGTAATCAAAGACTCGCTCGCCTTGTCCGTGAGTATGTCCCAAATAGTTGTATGTTGAATGTAGAAAATAAAAACAGATGATGGACCATTGAATTGCGGCAAGAGAAGGCAGAGCCAAGAATGAGCTGAAATAGAAGAAGAAAGTTGAGAAGTGAAGAAAGAGCGGGGAATGCACAAATAAGACATTTGAACAGGGGTTTGGTGTTTGGTCTCGGTCAGGCCCCCCATGCCTCAGGCCACACTGCTGCAGGCCTTTCAATTCCCCCACCCAGCGAGTGAGCAGAAAAACAATCAGAGCAGCTAGATAGCCTCCAGCTCACCATGCTCAGGCAAAATTTACATATTGTAGTACCTTGTATGATCTCAAGTCGAAAACGAAGTTCTACAAATGCGATTGGTTAAGATATACAACAATATATTATAAACAAGCTGGGAAGAGTATATTCGAATCGTAAAATTCAACATGCTTCTATACCACAGAAGCCTTCCTCGACGCAGTGCATTGGCTGCTCCGACGTCTAGTGGCGTGTCTTTGCCTGTCCGCGGCAAGGGTCTGTGCGAACTTGCTCCTCGCCCGTATCTCAGGACCTTTCCAATAAAATATGTAAATTGGAATAGTCACCAATACAGCCAAGCAGCCAAGAATAGTGCTAGCCCACTGGAGGTGGAAGCGTCCCCCGATATTGGTATACATCGGGGTTGCGTACATTGCGGATAGCCCGGCGAGAAGGTCTCGTGCGAACCCATTCCCGCCCGTAGCGGACGCAGAATACTCGCCATAAGCCGCCACCATGTAGTCTATCGTAGCCATGTATATACCATAATTCGCGATTGCAATCAGGAATACGAAGACCAGGGGCACCATCCAATGGGTATACTCCGGGCCCATGGACGTCCAGGCAAAGCCAAAGAGTCCGATCGTCTCCAGGGGTGCGATGAAAAGCAAAAGTAAGAGCCGGCGCTCAGCCACCCGGGCCGCATCACCCTCGCGTCGTCGGATCAAGCGCTGGCGGTAGATATCGGGGAGGAAAATGGCATATGCAACCAGATAGCCAACAACTATAGCGACGAAGCACAATCCAACCTGCAGTGGATTAAAGCCCCATTGTTTGAAGACCAAGGAGAACGACTCAATGCAGGTAAAAATTAGCGCATCGGAAAAGCCAGAAAGAAGAGATAGGAAAAGCACAATGGGCTCGCGCAGGAACATCTCGAAAGGGCGACGCCAAATGCGAAGGATTTCTTTTACGTCAAACCGGGAAGGCTTGAGCTCACTCGGGCCATAGACATTTGGATCCTCACCGGATTTGCGCCGACGCTTCGCCTCTCGATCTAGCAAGATGGTAGATCTCGTTTCGGTGACAAAAAGGAAATGGAGTATTTGGGTGACTCCACCGAAAATAAGCTGAATCCAGAAATTCCACCGCCAATGCAACCACTGCTCCATCATTCCTCCGAATATAGGCCCAATAGTCGTCCCACCGACAGAGCTCAAAACCACATATGCGACAGCAAAGCCCTGGTCATCTGACTCCCACATGTCAGCGGTCATACCCAGGGTGACCGAGCCTCCTGCGGAGCTAATTCCACCAAGGCCGCGCCCAACCACCATGGTTCCAAAATTGGGTGCCAAGGCACAGGGAATTTGCCAGATATTAACAAGAAGGAGGCTCAGTTGCATGATAGGCCATCGACCGAACTCCTCGCTCCATGGCGCCCATAGCTCGCAGCCAAAGGCGTAGGTTACCAGAAAGATCATCTGACCGACTCGAGCCGCTTGCTGGCTGATATGGAAATGTTCCGACAACTGCACCACGGCATTGGAATATGTACTGCTGTTGAAGTTCATGGACATTTGAACGACGAATATAACTGTCAAAATCCCCCATTTCTTGTACCATGGGAAGCAGAAGCCAAGTTTCTCGTATGCATCCTCTTCAGTCAATTCGCGCTTCCCATTGCCACGGAATTTGCCTCGCACTTCACTATCGGTATCCGAAGATGCTGTATGCTCATCATGGATGTTAGTGGGCCTTCGGGTAGGGCTCAAGTCGCAGTCTCCAAGACCAGAATCCTTCTTTTCCGACTTCTCAGGGTCAAATAGGGGGGAGCGCGGCGACTGGTTCCTCGAGGTCATAGCAACGGTGCACGGTCAGTGTAGGATATTCTTCAGAGTCGACCAGGCTTCTTCGACTGAGTTGTAAGGGTAGATGGTAGGCCTCAGTAGACGTGTAGTGTATAGATGACATTGGGTGCCCCATTCATCAGACGAAATGAAGACGAACGGTACTATGATGGAACGAAGTCGAGGTATTGCATCACGAAGAGGAACCGATCTGGTCTTATAAGCGGTTTCTTCATTCCATTCATGCTGATGACCTAAAGTGGAAGTAGATGTGGGATGGATTCGCCAGCGGAGGTGCGACGTCATAAAACCCCGGGGTCAAAAACGGACCCTATACCAGCAGCAGTGGAGATGATGCACGCCCGCTTTCCGATCCATCGATCTCCCCGGTCCCACATCTTGGATAGTCAATCAAGAACGGTTGAGCTGTCTCAGTTCTTGCCTCAAGCTTAGTAAGATCTCTGGCTGTTACCCACGAGCTTGCGGGTGGCGCCGACGAGATATGGCTCCTTTGTAGGACGTAGCGCATGTGCTTGATACAATCTGCTACCTCTGTCTGCAGGTTGCGTTTAAAGGTGCACAAACCACATCAAGTCATGGAAAAAAATGAGTCTGTAAAGATGACTCGGCTTCGGTTGCTGATGAAGGCGCAAGAAGTTGTAAATCCAATCAGCGATCTCGGACTTGGAACATTTGCCGGAATTCCTAAAGCGGAAGCCCGGAGTGCGGCCGTCCGAGGTCATCGCCGCGCCTGTTGTCTGGTCGGAGTTGTTAACAATACTCTCGGCATGACGCAGGGTCAAGGGCTAGTTCCAGGATTATTAAAGTTTCCGGTAGGGATATGAAAGGTCCTCATCCTCCAGATCTTCTGTTTTTTTTGGAAGATCGTAGTCTCAGAGGCATGAATCGACAGCCTATTTCGCCAAATCAGACAAATTTCGTGGCTGTGAACCGACGGGGTGACATCAAGTCAGTTATTCCCCGCCTTGTTCTAGAAGAATTTTTAATCATGAATGCGTGAGAACATCTGGAAATCAAATGTCATGGTGCCATGGTGATGGCGTTTAGAACCGGTCGCCATCCATGGAGCGGGGATTCACTACCTATGATCTCACGGTTGCCGCTCTGGGAGGTGCCGGGGAATTCCTGGCGTACTACTCGAGTAAGTACGATTGCTGAACGCTTCAAATTGTAGATCAAGAGGAGCTGTATTCATTCAGCAGCATTTTGTGTCGGCTTCTTTGGTCTTGTTGATGTGGCGCATATCACAGACTTTGATGCGTTGTCGAGGTCCGGTCGGGTTTGCTATGCTCTTGCCTCATCAGTCAGCATATCAAGATGGAAGGTCACCTGACATTCAATGAAGTGAAAATGAAGCAGGCAACTCCCTTGGCTCTTCTTATTCTGTTTCTGTTCTCATTCATGTTTTGCAAATGGCCTAAATCAAGGTCTACATCTCTACAGAGCTTGGGTGGTTGAATGATACGCTTGCGCCATTTTCTTTATGAAGTTACTTGAGAAAAATTGTGTGAAAATACCAGCAAAAGCGAACACATTTTTCTGACTATATTAGCGGTTTGACTGGCATTCTGGCAAAGACTACACCGGTGCCAGTGGAAGCCTATCGCGGGCGAATGCTGCTTTTCAGCATGAATGCCTGCAACACGAGGATTCGAAGTTAATGGTTCGAAGTTAATGATTCTTCGATGGACCATTCTCGTCAGCTTTTGATACATGAATCAGGTAGAAACAAGAATCAATAGTAAGGATCACTTCGCTGAGCGAGAATGTCTCCCGCCGTCTTAAAGTTTTGGCGTGGTGCAGTGTGTGTATATACTCCGTACTTGCGACACCAAAATATCATTAAAGTATAAATTCTACTAAACAACAAGTGCGCTATTTTCTCCCCTCGCCAGATGATGAGGAATAAAGCATTTTCTTCTTGGCCTTCTGATTACGTGAAACCTTAATGCTCGCCTCCAACATGTTTCCCGATATCTGATGGATGCGCACATCCTGAATGGCCCAATTCCATGGATGGCGGACGAGTGCGCCAAGACCCTAGTCCGATTTCGGGGGTAGCTTGCGAGACCCCTACCAGTTTCGGTGGGGAAAGCCGATACCGGGTGGAGCAGCAGGCGTTTGCCGTGGGCCCGAGACTATCTGCCCCCTCTTGGTAATGGCCGCCGTCGGGCCTGGCTCGCCCCCGAGTTTTCCATCTCAACTTCCTCACTATTCCCTGGCCGAGTTGACAATTACTGCATTCGCAATCATTCTCATCTGCGAACCCCCGACCCTTGTCGGGTCTATTCACATTTGCGTAACGTCTTATATTTCCACGCACTACCTGTCCCGACGCATGCGTCCATGGTGTTTCCGGGAAGACTGAGCACAGGCTGCTATGTATGCCGTAAGCGAAAGGTCAAGGTATGTTGGTCACTGTCAAAAGTGGGATGGTTCTGTGGTCTTAATACTTCTCTTTTGTAGTGCGATGGGGAGAGACCGGCTTGTCGTCGTTGCGTGACACATAACAGGCAATGCACAGGCTATCCTGATGCATTCGCATTTCGAACCTATAAGCCCGGCTCAACACCCAAGACCTCGACAAATGATGCAAATGTTCCTGCTGATTCCGGACTGGAGAATTGCAGTAAAGCTGAAGCCGGGTTCTTAGACCCTGAGGGTTCGGAGCTATCATTATGCTCCACTAACCTAATCTCCGGAGGGTTGGGGCCTTTGGTACCCACCCTTGTTCCTTGCTGGGAGTCCCAGTCCCTCGGGTACTTCTATGATCAGTATGTCCTTCACGCCCAAAGGTCTCCTTGTGAAGGTCACCTTGCATTTCTTCCAGACTTGTTCCGTGAGAAAGGCGATGACCCTTGCTTGAAGCATGCCGTGCTTAGCGTGTCCTATCTTTCCTTGCACAACGTCTCCAGACGTGGAGAGCTGCATGCCAATGCTCGACGGCACTATGGACTGGCTTTAAACTCACTGAGCACTGCACTCAGCATTGAAGGGGCTTATTTGAAGGATGAAGTGTTCGCAGCGGCACTTTTCTTGAGTATGTTTCTTGTAAGCAAACCAGGTCAGTCCTCCCACGAGAAAGACTCGCTAACCTAATACAGGACATAAGTGGTGATCACAGCGACGTCGCAAACCCTCACATACCAGGCATCTACTCCCTCATGCAGCTGCGCGGGAGGCCTCCTCGGAGTAGCAAATATGGCCGAGTCCTCTTTGGCTGGGCTTTCACCCAGACCGTAGGTCAACTCACCCAGTCCGATCAGCATCACGAGGTTAACAGACCAGCAGCAAATCCAAGCCATAGCCAACAACCAATACCAGTATGCCTCTCTGCCCTCGTCGATCAATATGATCTACGAGCCGGACTTCATCTATCGTTCAGGAATCATCACGGGAAAGATATCTGAGTTCTGTAATTCCGTCCAACGAGCACGAGAAACCTTGGCTCACAGCTCGAAACCTGCCAAATCATTCCGCTCAATTCTGTGGCGCGCCCGCTGCGTCCTCGACGAGATCGACACCTGGAACGAACGAATCCCCAGCCATTGGAAACGCCAATACCTCGACACAACTCTCGAGGACAGTCCTCCCGAGGAGCCACAGACCCCTCGCGACCCCTGGACGACTTGCTTCCTCGCCGTCGTGCAAGCCACCCAGATCGTCTTCTACCTTCAGGTCATAGCATGCTGCGACGCGCTCGACGATCTGGAAGACACAAAAACGCCTGAAACCTCACCACACCCTCCCCGACACGACCCGTACGGTAGCGACGACGACTCATCCGATGAAGGCCCACATAGTCCCACATCTCTCTACGACATCGACTTCGAAGATCGCATCGAGGACCTGACGGATCTGATCTGTTTCACCGTAACTACAATCCTCGGCCGAATCAACGAAGCCACGGGCGCGTTCCAACTCCACGCGCATAGCAAGCTGGGTAATAGCTCGACATTATTGTGGCCAATGTGGCTGGTGGCCAATTCATCTTTTTCCACAGCAGAGCAGGTCTCTCTGTGTCGAAAGGGGTTGGAGTGCATTGGGTCGACCATGGGGTACCGCCTCGCGTCCGTGCTAAGTAGGAATGCATGCCCACTTTCGCCGATTGGAATGCCTCCACAGAGCGCGAGCTTGCTTTGTTTACCGAGCCAGTGATCCACGCAATATCTGAGACTCTGGCCACCATGTATATACACTAATGTTACGACACGCGCTATGAGCCATGGAACATGAACACTTTCTCTAATGCAATGATCAATCCTAAAGCTTTCGACGCTTCAAAGCCCAATCACTAGGTTATCACCAAATCAGCAATCTCCCACCAATGTCCCAGCAATACCCATCAAGCAAATTAAAAAAACATCTCATGGTGTAGTGTGTAAATAATCTCCGCGGACCAACTTCCTCGGTCGGGAAACCCCGAACGGGTTGAACCCGGCAACTCAAAAAACCCACCGCAAACCCGCCGAAGGTTGAACCCCCGTGCTCATAAACCCTCCGAGTCCGAGCCCGCCGCCGGAGGTTTGGGGGTTCAACCGGTGTGAGCTCAAACCTCCGGGCGCCGAAACTCCCAAGAAAAGTTGAACCTCTTCGCCGATGCCCGCGCCGAACTTCTTGTAGTATTGCGGAAGAACGATAGGTACAGTACATAATAGGCTGTATACTCCAGAATTGACGCTCTAGTTAGTTATGTGGTAGTCGCTTCTGGGCGCGCTAGCAATCCTCCGTAGAGGCTTTCATTCTGCGGGAGATAACAGGATTTTGCGTATAATAAAGCTGGATGGCATAGGTAAATGCTGATTGTGTTCTTCCATTAGCTATTGAGGGATCATTTGCTCGGCTCACAACACCAGAAAATCTATCTAAATTGGAGTGAGTGCAAGGTGTACTGTGCAGTCGAAGCTAAGAATGTGTTGTTCTCGGAGAAGGCAATGAGCCTCAAGACGAAACGGAACTGAACATTGCATCATTGCTGGTCTTTCGAAACAGGCAAGCAAAAAGCAAAGAAAAGAAAATAAAGAAGAGAAAAGAAAATAAAAGAAGAAAAAAGAAAGTAAAAAGTATTGCAGAGACAGCCGCCTAGTTACCGACTCTTGGAAACACGGTGTAGTTAACGACGACAGATCGGTAGTTTCGCTCTCAGATCCGGCGGTAGTCGTTCGTCTTGCTGCAGTACCCACTCTCCTTCCAAGAGTTGATCCATCTCTCGCTCATATGCTCTCTGATATAGAAGGCGACCATTTCTGTGGGTTAGATCTTGATAGGAAACTCCGTTGCTACTCTCATGCTCCAAGATCATTTCGCCCCAGCCCTGGGGCTGAAGCGTGAGGTTGTCCCAAGTCGAGAGAACAGGACCACCGACATGTCGTTGCCATTTATATTCCTGGTGGAAGCCACCCGAGCCCAGATTTAAATACCTGGTAATAACGAAAGCATCACCGTCGCTGCCGCAAGAGACCAGGCGCACCTCGAACTTCATCTTACAGTGGGGACAGCGGTAAAACAGCGGATCAGGGTACTTATCCGGAAGGCAACCAGCCTCTCGATTGTCCTGCATACAGCATCTGATGTCATCCAAGTCCGGGACGAATAGATGGTCACAAAGTGGAAATGGAATCGTCCACATGTAATGCAACCAACTGAGATCGGCCAAGAACCAGGTTTGTATGCGGAGGCACACGCGGTGCAGCTTTGGAAGTATTTGCACGTCAGCCGAAAACAATTTCGTTGTTCCAGGCGTGGCCGGATTCCGATTAACCTGAATGTAGGATAGCCATTTCGTAGATACCCCATGCGCAGGCCCGCAATGATACCTCTTCAGCGCCAAGTGAAGGTGAATGTGCCTGAACCGATATGCGGCAGAGAAGGCCACAGTGGTTCTTCTCAGGGCCCAGGAATGATCGTATTCAAGTATACCGTGCTTCACCCAAAGGCTCGACGGCTGCTTAAGAGGTCCTGGTGGACCCAGAGTGTTCTTTGAGTGCAGACAGTAGCATGAAGTGCAGTAGACGTACTTGGAAAGGTCGCGAGCCATTCTTTCGAGGAATATGTTTCTTGAGGCACTCTGTCGGCAAGGGAAAGGGACATATCCGAAAATATTATATAGATGATGGCTGCATATCGCGAGGCATGCTTCATCTTGTGGTTGCAGGAAGTCGGCTACCAAATATAATAGTTCTACAGGAAGGCTGCTAAGACGATCGCGGCTGTAGGGAGAGGGGTCTCCAGTCGAAATACGCACACGAGGTGAGAGGGCAGTCATACATTGTATCCAGGCCTTTGTAGAACTCTTGGGGCTTTTGTAAGGCTGGTTAGTCGAACTGAAGCTCTATCGGTGGAAAGCTTTGTGGGTGGTTTACTTACCGAAAGGCATCGTTCGAGGGACCAGACATCGCGAAGATCAATAGGAAAGCTGAATTAGGTGATGATATCTTTGGTATAACAGCTAAGAATAAGAGATATCTCGGGTATGAAAATGACAGTGAAGAGCACCGACTTGTAGCGGACAACCTGCCAGGCACGTCTCGTAGGATCGCAACAATGATACCAGCTAGGTATTACGTAGTCATCGGTGACTGGTGCCTCGAGCAGTAGCCCAGAAACGCAGTCGAGGAAAGTGCGCTCAGCAGCGGTAGCGGATTGGGATCCATGGTAGTTGCCTGTGAGGTTCCAAGCATGAGTTCGATATTCCATCTATAGGGTGACTCGAAGGGCTTATGCTGATAGATCATCCAAAGATATAGGTTTGAGTACCCTCCTCCCCTAACAATCATTTTTTGTACATGCAGATCTAAGATCCATGATATGAATCTCAGACAAAGAGATCTTCGAGGACTACAGCGACTCTTTTGTATAGAACGAAGTATGTGCGATACCGCATCAGAGACGAATGATGAAATTTCTCGACCCGTAGGGAAGAGCATATCCTCCAGCTGTGAATAATCATCAGGCCTTTGTCTGTTGAAGCTTTGTGGCTTGGACACTTTAGTCCAGGGTCTGAAACATACAGTACACAGTGAGCGAGGAAAGAGCGTGGAGAGTCAACGACCAAGACTGAAGTATAGCTGAGGCTAAACCGAGACGGTCAACGGCGGCAGAACGGAAGGTGGGCCTGGCGGATCTCCATAGATTCCACCTGATCTACAAGACAACAGCTACCTTCCTTTCCTTCAACAACACTCCACCACGAACAATCATGGCGACATCATTCGTGCCATCGATCCTACGTCCTGACTATACGTGGCCTTGTCGGGCTCCTTTCACTGTCTCCCCAACCACACCTCCAGTACCTCGTGTTTCTTGGAAACCCATCAGAGTAGCATGGGGCCTCGTGCATAGAGCGTTACGATACTTCTCCCAGTGGTACTGCCACTGGTTCGGGATCCGTTTCGACTACAATATCATTCCATTACCTTTCGGACTGGTGATCAAATGGACGGATCGCAGCAGCGTTGAGGAAGCGATCGCCACACAAATGGCCAGAGCCGCTGGAATGCCCGTGCCTAAAGTTCTGAATTACGGCGAACAACTTTACACCGACTGCAACAGAAGAGTTTCTATCCTGATGACTCGACTCCCGGGAATCGACTTGAATAACTGGGAGGATACAGAGTATGATCCGGAGAGCGAGGAGCCGTGGCTACAGGAGTTGAAGACGTGCGTGCAGACCATGCGCTTGTGGACGCCCCCTTCCTCACGCCAAAATTGGGTCTCATCAGCGATCGGTACTTGTCTACGAAGTCAACGCGTCCCCGATCATATCATGGGACCATTCACAGATCAGACACAGTTGCATGACTTTCTGCTATCCACGGCTTCAAATCATGCGTTCAAATCACAAGCCGAGTTTGAGAAAACCCTGGCAATGGCAAAGAAATTGGATCAACGAAAGTATAGAATGGTTTTCAGCCAAGGTGACTTAAAAGCCCATAATATCCTTGTCGGTGACGATGGTCACCTAACTGGGTTTCTCGACTGGGAGTCTGCGGGTTGGTATCCAGAATACTGGGAGTTTACCACGGCTATGAGATTCGGGAGGAATTCCTGGTGGTTCAGAGCAGTGTCTTGGATTGGAGGCTCTGAGTATCTTGAGGAACTGGATTATGATCGTGCTCTAAACAACTTGACGGTGGACTCTTATGTCGCCTTCTAGGACAACAGGTGCTGAGTTTCCGAGGCGGCTGTTCATCAGCTTGCCTTCGGTACATTCTTGATTTGCATCTTCGATCTTCATTCCTGCAGATTACTGTGGCGTCATTATCATGTATGCATACTTGATCGAGGAGGCTCTCAAGGAGATGTTTTTGTATTGAGCTAGTGCTACGTACTTTTCGACGAGCAAGAAATTAATCCCAGCCAATACCTAGTTTGAAAATCAAATGAAAAGGCAAAGCAGCCAAACTGAGATCACCGAGAAGTGTCTTCCAGCGCGGTAAAAGCTCTGTATTGCGTACTCCCCCGAGAAGAGCCCGCAATGGACACTTTGATGACACACGCGCGACTTCACAACTGGGCGTGGCTGGCGAGAGTTTGCAGCATCAACCATGTAATAGTTCCCACTGACAAGCACTCCGCCTCCAGGTCCTTGACACTGCTGCACTTCACAATGCCCTGGTCCATGAGCTTCTGCAGAATTGCAAGAGCGCCCAAACGCGGCAAGTGATACCAGGCATTGCATTCAGGTTGCCGTCATAGAACCTCATGAAGGGATCGACTTGAGCGACTTTATCGCCAGGGACGCGTGCGATCTGAATGATAACACAAAGAAGGTTAGACTTCAAGAGACCTCCAGTTCTGCCGTGGTCCGCAAGCCATCCCTTGCCGTCGGTGCTGGGGTTCTTCACATGATACTTGAAGCCACTGGAGGCGTCAGTGTGGAAATAGAGACCCCAGTGGAAGTCGTTGGCAATGGGAGGGTCAGCGCGAACGTAGAGCACGACGTAGAGGGTGTTGAGAGGGAGTCCAGCGAGGATTTCGCCCTGGACCTTTCTGACTGCCGCCGCTCTTTCAAACGGGCGCAGCCCGGAAAAGTCGCTTCTGTAGCCCTTGGTCAGGTCCTCCATTCTCGGACAGTCTGACTAGACGGAGCGAAGCGCGCGGGTTTTGTGAGGAATATCAGACGGATTCTCCGCTTGGCGCGTGAGATACGGAGTTTGGAAACGCTTGACTGTGGCCCTTTTGCTTGTCTAGAGACATGAGAGGTTAGCGAATGCATCTTCAATCGCGCCATGAAGGACACATACTTTGATACTTGTGATGTTTTTTTCCCAACCCTCGGTTGAAGCAACCTACGAGGGTGTGAGGGATCTTCAACTAGAATTCTGTGAACAATCGTGTCGAAGTCCAGCTTCGTATGAGTGATACTGATCTTGAGAGAGGTTGTAGATTGTTGTTGTCAAGGCAGGAAGAACTGGAGGACAGAGAGACAGGCAGCTACTGAGTACGGAGGTCAACGATATTGTTCCAGGGACCGAGTTGCTGAAGTGACAGCGATTCATTCATTATGTGTTACTCCTCCAGGGCCATCTGACATATTCACTTAAGACCATCTTCCACTATGAATTCCTCTGAGCTGGGCATCAACCTTACCTTTTGCCCTGATCAGATTCGTTCTCATCTTCCATGACAATACATATTAGCTAGTATATTGACATCTTGATCAAGGCCATGCTAGAGGAGAAGCCTATATCTTCTCAATAAAGGTTCCCTCAACACGTGAAATTTGGTCTGAAACTGCCTACAGGTTTAAGTTCTGGGCGACACTCGGGCTCTTTACGCTCAATTTTGATTGCACAAGCAGGGATAGAAAGATGCGTAGTTTTTCACAACTCAGTAAGATGCATGACTAAAGAATATCGACGTAGGAGGATTGAGCACTAAGGGATTAAGCACCCAAGCATCTGCCAGTTCAGACTAACGGTAAATACCTTGCAGTATGCTAAGTTGGCTGCTCTTCATAATGTTTGGACTCTTTGCACGAAGATTTCATGGCCTATTTTATACTAATTGTTTGATGAACGCAGGGATCACTGAGTTTCACCATCCTTGAGGACCGTAATGCTTTTTCTTCAAAGCAGTAGTCAGGTTTATGAACAATACTGCCTACTGCTGAAGATGATTACATCCAGAGCTTCATGGGTGTTCTCGAGACACGAGTTTGTGAGTTGGGAGTGTCGGAAAAAGGTTCTTTGGCCTGTATACAGTTGGAGGAAATAGTTTTGGTCGCCCGTCCACCGCCTCACCGGTCACGAATGCGACTCATCAGAGAGGTAGCGATTCTCGGATTCTTAATAAAGATACGAAGCTAATCTGAATGATTCAAAGCATAGCATACTACTATTTTTCTGCACACGAAAGATACGGTCGAAAGACCTTCCCATCAAGTTGGATCCCCTGGCGGCTGGCGTAGCTTTGCTGGGTAAACTTAACCTGAAAAGGCCTGAGTTGGGCAAAAAAAAATGCTGCAAAATCAGCATTTGGTGGACGGTGACCATCGCAAATGTGCATCACGCAGGGAGAGTCTTGCATGTTGAAGGGCCACCTATTGTTCCAGCTGCTGAGGCTACCATTGCCGAGGTTGTGGCGACGACTCTTAGAGAACATAAAGCCCATCACAACTCTAGCAGAACGGTCACCTCATCAGAGACGTGTACCAGCTTTCTCAAGGAAGCCTTTTTCCAATCAGCCCATTTATGCTTCTTGAACCGATCTCGGCGGCCCGTATGTCAATCATGCCCAAGAAAAGCTTGGGCTGTTCAATGATCCGGATATTATCTTTTCCCTTCACCATGCGATGATCCGAGCAGGGGACCATGCGTCTATGACACCGAGGGGTAATTCGGCCTTCAAGTAACCTCTCGTCGTGAAGTTTACTATTCTAAGTCTCTTCGTCCGTGTCTACAGCGGAAACCGGCACTAATTGCCGTTCATGGACAAGGTGGATGGTCTCCGCAAGATTTCCCCGCCCTTTGCAACCCCACATTGCCGGCGAAAAAGTGGTACCATCCCGCAAGATCCCTTGTATATGCGTTCAAAACAAGGATCCGTCTACAATGGAGCTGAGCTTAGGGCCGCTATGTCATGGTGTAGGCCTATAAAAATGGGCTCTACTTCCGTGTTCGTTTTCGTCGTTGTATGCTACCTAGCATCGTTTGCATCTTTAATCCTGCCATAAGTCTTTCTCGGTGTCATGAGGTATTCTAGTCTTGGTCTCCTGAGCTTGGCCACTCTGGTATCAGCCAGTGCGGAAGACCCTTACTATGCGAATTTGACATGGGAAGCCCCACGCAGCTTGTCGAACTGGTCAAACTTGACTGTCGAGACGCACACTGGAACTTTCATTGGCATGCTCAATGATACCTACCCCAATGTTCGACAATTCCTTCGAGTTCCGTATGCGCAGGTACGTTCAAGCCTTTCTTGGACGTTTCTCATACCGCGTGTTGATCTTATCTTCTTCAGCCTCCCGTTGGGGATCTACGTTGGATGCCTCCGCAAAAGCCACAAAGGTCCAAGAAGCGGATCGATTCTACCTTTTATGGCCCAGGTAACTCCCTACGGTACCCATAAAATTTGTTCCCCAGCGCCCACTCACATCCTTGACAGCTTGTCCTCAGTACGTGACTGCGCCAGCCAGTATCTGGAATACCTACGAACCCCCCAATTTGCTGCTCAACATCGGCGAGAGATTGGATCAAGGTTCCACTGCCTGGTCATCGGCCGAAGATTGTTTATCGATGGCAATCTGGACGCCTGCTTCAGCTAATCGCACCTCTAAACTTCCGGTGGCGTTGTTCGTAACAGGTGGCGGCGGTATCACTGGTGGAATTGATATTCCCTCTCAGCTGCCGGCACATTGGGTTTCGCGATCTCAGGAGCACATTGTTATTACCATCAATTATCGATCAAATATCTTCGGGAGTGGGTTGACCTTACTACCAGGAGAGACATTGGACTGACCTTGCTTGCAGATCCCAAGTCCCGGGCATTGAATGAGACCTCTTTGACTTTGCTAGATGTCAGAGCTGCAGTTGAATGGGCCTACGAGAATATCGAATCTTTTGGAGGAGATGCTGAAAACATAATGGTACGGTTCTCACCATTATCATCTACTATATATAATTTCTGACTGGGTGACTAGCTGTGGGGTCAATCGCAAGGAGGTATCCTGACGCATCTGTATACTCTTGCGTTCCCTGACGACCCTCTCGCTGCCAAGTTCGGAGTGATCTCACAGGGTGCATCGGCCACCCTGGACCTCGCAACGGCCGGTGATGTTTATCAAGACTTTGACATTGTCGCCAAGGGACTCGGATGTAACTATGGAGACGACTACGAAGCCGAGCTCGAGTGTATGCGACAGATTTCCTGGGTCCAGATTGAGGAATACATTAACCGCTACAACGCTACGCCTTCGATTGCTTTTACTAACTATATTCGTGAGTCTGGCCCCCTCGCCTTTCGGTTCTCGGGCTAATCCTGCCATTCAGCCGACGAAAGATACATCTTCTCGAATGAGACCGAGCGATATCTTCAAAGGAAGGTTGCTCCAGGACCGTCGATTCGATCTGACACCGCCAGGGAGTTTCCGGATCAGAACAGTACATACGTTGCCGAAGAAGAAGGAATCGCCGACTGCTTGGCACGTTCTGACTCGGAGCTTCGGGCTTCCATCGGCCTTGACACTTACCGATATTATTGGGCCGGCAAGTAGACGTCCGTCACCCTAGGTAAACGCTCTGGGGCTAATATTTGTCTTCCCGCAGGAAACTTCAGCAACATCAGCCCTGTTCCCTGGCTCGGCGCCTTCCACTGGACTGATCTATTCATGATATTCGGTACCTATATGCTGGATTTCGGCAACATCACCGAGCTCGAGGTCAAAACCTCCGAGACGATGCAGGATTTCTTCCTAGCATACCTCAAGGATGCCTCGACAATCAATACCACTGTAGGATGGACTGCGTTCAATGGAAGTGCACCTGGCGGGGGCGTTATTCTTGAGTTTGGCAAGGATGTTCCTGTTCGCAATGTCACTGGGGATTGGCTGGATGGTGGCTGCTGGAATTCTTCAATTCCCTTCCGGATCGATGGGTAGGGCAGCGATGTTGCGAGATGCCATCTGCGAAGCATCTTCCTGATGTAGCAGTCCTGCGACCCAGCATCTGAGTGAAAAGCAATTGTTGAAAACCGATCGATGCCCTATGTCTTCATGTTTTGATGAGTAGATGGGTAACTTCTTTGCAAGGGTGGATCAATGATACATGTCATAACTCTCGGCCCTTGTCTTGCTGACAGATCTGCCATGTCGGGCTTCTGGTTTGGCCTTTGTGTAAATTGCAGACTTCACTAGGTAGAGGAAATGTCGAAGCTTTGGAGTGGTAGACGAGAGAAGGTGCTTGCCCCTTTTCGGTAATGAGGGACTCCTGCCATGATCCATATCGCACAGAATGAGTTGTCTCCTTTGACTTCTTTCTCTCACACTGTTACTACACTTCTTGCACCTTGCACTTTTTCCTGTTTACATATCAATTGATACATTCTGATTGTGCATGCTTAGCTACTAACACAGTATTTTGGTTAACACTGCATCCCCTATCATGTGTCAACGCTGTTCTTCACGAGACAGACGACCCGTGCTGCAGGCTGTTGACATCAACAGTCCCACAGATGGTTGCCTGGGACAGTATGTTCCCGTGAGAATTTGTACTCGCACTGTCTGCTGCTGAGAACGCGAAAACAACGACGAAATCTGATCGTTCGTTCGTTCGTTCATACAGGCGAGATACTTTAATTTCATCAATAAGAACATACACACGCTCAAGCTGATCACGCTGCCAAATATGGGTCAACTCACGGATCTCCTGACCGAGATCATACTCCACATGATCCGAGCTGCAGTCTACAGAGCGGGATTCCCTAGCCATGTGATTGAACCCCTGATCACGATAGTTAGGCTGATCTCCGGAATCACCCATCGCAGGGAAAAAGTGGAGTTTGACCCAGTCAGTCATCCAGCCAATCATCCAGCCAGGTCAGCCGGCCCCCTTCCTTGAGCTGCAATCATTTCAGTGCTTACCATCAACCCATTCTAGGCTTTTTCGTTGCCACGAGCCCCTTCTCGCGCAGGTTCTGACAGCACTTCTTATCTCCGTGACACCGGAAGTAGAATCCATGGCCCTCTCCCAGCCTTTTCCCAGCAGGATTGTCGTACCCTGGCACACAGACTCCATCGACGGCAAGCGTATAAAATTCCCTTTGCATTTGCTTCTGCACCAAATCAACAATAAGACACATTCCCGGGTGCCCGAGGGCGGAAGCTCCTGAGAAAGCTTCGCGACGTGTACTTGATCGACAAGACGTACGACACATCCTGGATAGAGGATCGAGTCATCCTTATGACGGACCTCTTTGGCTTCATAAATATCTTTCGCCGTCTTCCATCGATTAAGTCGATTGGCATGGATGGGCTGAGAACAAGCGTCGTCGGTAAGCACGGGGTCCCATTTGCCTCGTCAAATATCTCCCGTATCCGGATCGAGCACTCGTGGGTTGACAGCATGGCCTTGACAAGGATCATCTGACTTTGCAAGCAGCTCCGAGAGTTTCGATGCTCCATCGGGGCCGAGTTAGTCGGCGGCGACCTTGGTATATTGACCGCATTTCAAATCGTCTTCCAAGCGCTTTTGGTCCACCATACAACCTTGAAGCTTTCTACATATAGATGCCGCATACATATCTTCTGAGACAGACACGGTAGAGCGGGATCTCCTTGACCTAGGTGAGAACTTCGGAAAAAGAAAACCGCGAACAAATGAGAGCAATCCGAATTGCGGATGAAATGGCTTTGGTTGATAGGTCAGTGAAGCTGCCGGTCTGGATTTGGGACCAAGCCGGCTCGTTGGCCGACTTCTCCGCCTTGAAGCACCTGAATCTGGATATTCACTACCTGTTGTACATGGTGAGGGGGGTGGAGGCCGCGAGAGACGATGAATACCAGCTCGCTGATCGGTTGCCGCCCAAGTTGGTGCATCTCCTAAACAACGCATATGAGACTCATATGAGAGAGAACTCAACAAACAAATGAATTCGTTGAGATCAATGGACAGAGAGCAGCTTTTCAGCAGCCTGAAGTCCATTCTGGAAATCGATTTCACAATCCCGGCGGTCCCGGAATGGGAAGAAGGGCCTGGGTTAAGTGCACATGTGCGTCGGTTGATCGAGGACGTAGGTGGATTTGCAGAAGAGGAAGTGGAGCAATTTATCCTTGATCCGAGTATCAGTGATGAAATCTCCAGAATTGCTCAGGCGTGTGAACACAATCAATGCATTTCTGCGCGAAGAACGCTTCGGGTGGTGAGAGTGATCTAGCGATTGTCTAGATCTGGGAAGTATTCTGACTTAAGCAATGCCCAAGTACATGTACTGAGTCACAACAAACCGCACCAGAGTGTTGTTAATTCCTGCCACCAGTACCAAGAATGAATAATTTTTCCATGTCTTTAAATCATAATAAACTGCCCTAATTTCTTACTTGCAAATATCCGGTCCAGCCCTTAAGCTTTTGCAGCCGTACCCGTACCCGTACCTGAAACAGTGGACCCTGGCCCGTGCGCGCGCAATCCGACAGATTCTTTTCTTACCGCCTTAAGTTACAGCCACCGTAGGGGATCATCAACATACCACAAAAAGAATAAAAGAACACCAGAAGGTACGCAACAAAATGAATCCGCTTCGCTACCTCGCCCCTCCCACTCCTTACAAGGAGCTCTCCACGACCAACAAGAAAGGCCTAAAGGAGCGCCTCAGCTACGCCGAGGCCCTGGAGCACCACCCAGGCCTGCAGCTGTCCGCCGAGAAGGCCGAGCTGCTGCACACCTACCAGCAAGCATGCGAAACGCTCCTTGAGGAACCGGGCAACCTCAACGCCGCGATGCGCATGATGCAGTACGAGCAGTCGCTCGAGCCCACAGGCGGTAGTCTCAGCAGCCCCGCTGCGCCCGTCAACCTCTCCTTCGACCTCGCCACCAAGGTCAAGCTCGGCGAGGAGCTCGACAACCTCTACAGCGTCTGGGCCGTCACGCGGTACCGGAAGTACCTTCCCACGGGGATACAGGAGGAAGCCGCCAAGCACCCGTCCTCGACCGCCGCGGACCCGTGGCACACGGCCTTCTGGACGCCCTTCCACGGCCGGCTGGAGGCCGAGGCCGCCGCATTCAAAGGTGTTCTGGCCGGCGAGAACCAGCACAATGAGTGCCCGACCTCGATTCTGTTGATGCTGCTCTGCGACCGCCACACGGTCGACTGGGACGAGACGCGCGCGTTGATCCGCTACGCGGCTGAGGGCGCCGAAGGAGTGATTCAGGGTCTCCCCGAGAGCGACTTCGGGGAGTTGCTGCACACGAAGGATGTGGCCGGGCTGGCAACACGGTTGGCCCGCGACGAGTCCGGCTGGAGCTGTTCGACGGAGTATGTGTTGGGCGTCAGTACACTGCTGATGGGCTTCTTTGCCAATACCCTGGCCGATACGCTGTTCGAGACCGAGGAGGAGCTCATGGATCCCACCAAGTGGGAGCCTAAGAAGGTGCTGCGCGAGCGGTTGGCGTTGGCCGAGGGCCATGAGCAGGCGTTCCGCGATCTGTTGCAGGAGATGTATGTGCAAATGTTGGTCGGGTCGGATGATGAGGATGAGGCTGGGTTCCCCGGGTATGACGATTTCGATGATCTGGATGATGATGAGTGGGAGGAGTTTGAGGGGGATGTGGAGGAGGGGGAGGAGGAGGATGATGGCGATGAGTCGGATGAGTATTAGTGGGAGTTCAATGCCTGAGGATGTTGGTACTTTAGAAGTCTGCGAAATTTGCAGCATAAGCGATCAAAAGATTATCTCTCCATCTCTTTGCTGAAACTCAAACAAATTAGCCATTAAAAACATCGACCACATAGACCCAACCCCGTGTCGCCCACCCCAAACCCCCAATGAATCCCAGCCCACCCACAGCCACCCCATCCATGCCCAAATCATTCATCAAAATCGAAATCACGAACCTGCCTCCAATCCAACACCATCCCCCTCGACGGCGGCCACGCCTCCACAAACCCCTCCGCATAATAGATCTCGTGCTCCTCCGGCCACGCATACACCAGCATCGTGACCTCCGTGCTCCGAAGGGCAGCCTCTCCCTCCCCTTCTTTACCTTTTTCGCCCATCCCCAAGCCGACCACATACTCGCGAATCTTCTCCCGGAGATGCGCCACAATCACGTTCCCCAACTTCTTGTACTTGTGGTCCGCGGCGATGAGTAAGTCTGTCAGGTGGAAGGTGCAGGTTCCGTCGCTGATGAGGCGGGCCATGGCGACCACTTCGCCGGTTTCTTGGGCTTTTGGGCGTGCGGTGGTGTTTGCAGGGGTGGAAGGTGGAGCTGGTGCCGTGTAGGTGATGTAGCAGCCGTACCAGCTTCCCTGGAGGGCGGATTCGGCTTGTTGGGCGGTTGGTGGTTTCGGGTGTTCCTTGGTGTGGCGGAGATGGAGGTAGGATTCGACGGCGGGGTAGCCCTGGTGGAGGGTGTAGTTTGGTGGGAGGACGGCGGGCATGTTTCGGGGGCTGCGTAGGTGGTAGTAGGTAGTGTTTGAAGGTGGTTGAATTTGGGGGTGGAGAGGTTTGAGTTGCGATTGTGGTTGTGGTTGTTGTACTTCAGTAGAAGTATGTGTTGTGGAGAGAGTGGGGTGGAATGAAAGAGGGGAAGTAATTTATGAAGGGGCCCGAGACTGTGCTGTTCTATGTTACAGGGCTGCTGGGTGTGCATGCATGATTGGAGGGGTTGTTCAATTAGACGTTGCTTCATCCCACGTTTGACCTTATACTTAATTTGAGTTATAAGTCAATCACAAATGGATTAAAACCACAGTAAATGTGTCAAATGTCCAACATGAATTGCAGCTTGGAGGCACGTTCAGTCAACTGCACCTATACTCGGTTTTCAGATGCACGCAAGTCCTCTCATCTCCACACGGGCCCCCAGAAATCATTAGGACCCTGGTACGCTGATTCGAATTTCTGACAACGCGGGTGCTCAAAGTCGTCCCACGATCCCTGAGGCCAGATCGGGATTTGACAAAACTCATCGTCATGACAGCCGTGGCACTCCTTCCACACTGTCCAGCTCAAATAGTCCATCAGTGATCGCAAGACATCAACCGCGACATCATATTCTTTCGCCTCCAGGACTTCGACAAACGAAGCGCAGATTCGACTGCTAACAGCATAAACTGCACGATAAGCAAGCGAGTCATCAGCAGCATTGGTAGGGATGAACTGAGTTGCGCATCTCTCCATTTCTTCGTCAATATCTCTGTTGTCCTGATCGACGAATGTATTCCAAATGCGTGCAACCTCTGCAACCCGAGAGAACACGCCGTGATGGTGGTGGTGTTTTGAAGCCAGCTCACGCAGCGGGTGGCTGTACTTCTGGACAATCATATCAGTGACCGCTTGCCAGTTCACCTTTCTGTGTCCGACATCATGTGCCATTACGAGGGATGTGAGGCTCTTGCGGATGGGCTTCAACTCCGCAAATGGAAGGTGGTTAAGACGTGGGGCGGTGCTGTCGTCCGGGAAAAGATTCAGGGAATAGTTGTAAGCCGTGACGAAATGATCATAGTTCAAGACCACCCGCTCACCGCCGATGCCATTGTACCTGGCCCTCATCACTTGGAGGACCTCGGTCGGTTTCCCTCCCTTCTTCTCATTGCCCCCTTTACTCAGACTAGATGACCTCACTCTCGCCACATGAACAGGCTCCAAGTTCTGTTCTGAGTTGCAGAGAATCACCTCGAACCCCGAAGCCAGCCGAATAATCCCATCCACCCGATCATTCCACTCTTCCCTTGCAATCCGACACACGGCCTCTGCACGCACATTCTCCTGCAAGACACCACCGTTAATCTTATCTTCAAATAGCACCCGGTCCTGCAGGTCGAGAGTCCCAATCTTGGATTTGCCAGCTGACATCCCATCGATAAGAATGAGGCGAAGATCCTTGGCCGTAGTGTAGGTGTGGAGCCATCCGCCATTGTCTTCCCCGGCTGGTCCATCTTGGTCCCCGCCCATCACTTGCTGGGAGCCAGATGACAGTTTCGGAGGGGGTGTCTCGGGTCGCTTCGGTCCTGACCGTGCGAAGGCAAATGCATGCTTGGGGTCGAAGGCCAGCCATCGGACTCCGGTGATGTGCTCTGGATAGCCGTCACCGTGGTAGAGTTTGGTTCCCTGTGGCATTTCTGCCAGGAAGAATGACAGCCCGTTGTGGTTGAGTGCCGAGCCCCATTGTCTCATAGACGAGTGGATGGCGTTGAAGATGTGGTTCGCATTTTGGACAGGTTCAGGGGGACCGCTGTCAGCGGCAAGAGGAGAGGTGGCAGCTCCTATGGCGGAGATTAAGGCGAGAATGCACGACCGATGCATTTTATTATCTGTGAGAAGAGTAGACTGTGTTGATCGGTGCAAAACATTTGGCTGGAAAGATGTGCTTTTATCTGGGATAAAGGAGTCGATGGCAGACACGCAATGCATGCATAGACATTACCAGTTCAGGAAATCAAGGCCGAGGGCCTGCGGAGGTGTTCAGGCGCCCAGGCACCCAGGCACTCCAATCCTGCTCATCATCTTCCCCGACGCGTCATCCGGTCTGTCACCACCTGCTCGCAAAAGCAAGATTACAATACCATGTCCTCCGGTGTTGCATCCGCCGTTATTTCACATTTTACGGTTCTTCACGGGCTTTCTCTGCAAGTACTAACGGTTCCAAACTATAAGCAAGTTCGCTGACCTCCCAAGTATGAGTAGCAATCTGCGAAGGGATACCCACCACCACCTCTTTCTAACCACTTCGACAGCTTCATCGAAGTCACCCACAACACAGATAGCCTACTTTGTCGATCACTGCCACAATGGCTACCTCCTCCGTGACATATGAAAAGAAAACCGCCAATGATGACAATCCATAAGAGTTGTAGGACAACCCTGTTGTATGTGCCAGGCTTATTTCAACCGCGAGAAAGTGATTCATAGGGCAGACTATTTCTTTCGTTCCTAAGAACCTCCTTCTTACATTTGTCTGCCCCAACGGAGTTTTATGAGGCTCCGTTCTTCGATCTCATTCAGTGGCACATTTACCTCCTCCGCAAACGTGGAATGGATTCTCTCGGTACCCAAATTGCCACGGTACCAAACAGTGGGTAAGCCCCAGGTCTGATTGATAAGAATTCGGGGAGAGAAGTTTTTCAAAAATGCTTGGCTCCGGGTCATGAGAGCTCGTCTGCGCGGAAGTGCTATGTTGCGAAGTGTGGGACATCTTACAAATCACAATGAACTGAGCATCGGAATCAAGGGTCTGGCTTCCGAGGTCGAAACCCATCATTTTACGGAAGCTCCGCTCGTGAAATAGTACCAGTGAAGCATCACACTGTGCTTTGTTGAAAACGACCCACGGGAAAGACTCTTATTGTGAAATAGTGAGTTTCCTCTTTCCCTACCTCGCTTCAGCGCTCGAAGTAGCATAGTGAAGGTGTATCTTAGTCTCGCATTCACTACCGTCTGCAGGAATCTATTTCTCTGCCATGCATTCCTTGATTCTCACTTAACTGACCTTCCTAGTAGGGGGTATCTGCCGAAAACCGCCATCCAAAAAAGCCTCCGTGCAAACCATGACTCACGATGCAAGCGATGCCAAGAACACCCGAGCCACTTCATCAGTCGTCTGATGGATACATGAGGTCTTTGCCTGAAAATGCGTGCACATCTCCCGAAAGGGACGTAGCTTGCGAGGATGGGGCTCGAAAAAATCAAGCAACCGACGGATGTGGGCCGCCAAGAAACTCGGGGTTAGATTGGGTCACCACTGCCAAGAGCTTGTATACGTCGGCCCAAGGGTCTTTCTAGCCAGTTATACGGTGCTTGATCGCATGCTAAGTGGATCTTATCAGATTGATCAATTGTTCCACGCTCCGAATTATCAATCAAACCTTGCTTCCACAGTGTGGCACTTGTGGGTCGTCCGGGTTTTTCGTCTTAGACAAGACAGAACTTTCTATGCTTTTCGCCCCGTCAGGGAGATGTTGTCAGAAGAAAAAATCTCTGCATGCAACAACCGGGCTAATACGAAGTTGGCGGAGAAGAGGCCGCCACTATTGGCCTTTGACTTGTGCTTCTCTCTCATCGGCTGTATGTCCTAAAAGATGTGTTCAACGGCGCTACACATATCGCACTGGAGTCCACAAGTCCGATGAATGCGAATCTATATGATGAACCAAATTCATCGGTCTAGATGCTCCGAGCCAAGGAGGCATGGTGCAATGATCAAGTGGAGATTGATAACTGGTTCGTCAGAGATTAGCTCGATTCTCTCCGGTGGGTTCCGCCACGCCTGTGTAATGAGCGTGCTCGAATAGGACCCTCGTTGCGAGCAAGTGGGTAGGTCCAATATGAGGATTCTGTGCGATATAAAGATTGACTTGACACCCGGACTACGCTGATCTCGGGAGTATCTTATCCATCAGCCGGCAAAATGAGAGTGACGAGTACACTTCTCCTGATCCTGGCCTGGACGGGTGTCCCCGTCCTGGCAGGAGGGTTTTCTATGTCTGCCCCTGAGCTTGCAGACTACTGCTTCTATGCTATATATGAGTCTCTCGGCTCGTACACGTATGCAGGTGCTACTACAACCAGCTCAAGCTCAACCGACACGTCGACTTCTGGAGGCTCTTCTAGTTCTAACAGTTCGGCAAGCGGTTCGACCTCGCATGGCTCCTCCTCCTCCTCCTCAAGTTCCGTCGTCACAACATCCCATGGCTCCTCCTCAAAACGGGCATTCGCAAAGAGAATGGCTCGACGTGGTCATCACGGTAGTTCTTCTACTGGAGGCTGCACGAGCACAGTGGGTGCCATGTCCTTGTATGCCAGTGCGAAGGCATGGTGTAACAAGAAGCAATTGGAAGCCACCATTCCTTATTGGGAAAGCCTATGTGAACAGAACAGTGCCACTTTGGTCAATCTGACTGATATCATCGCCAACGCCACCGATTCCTATATCGCATCATTGCCAACCATCGACCCGGAAACCAACAGCACGACGACAACCGGCACTATTGAGAGTCCAGTCTTGCTTAGCCACTCGTACTACAAGCGAGCTTACAAGTCCTATGTAGGTGTTCCTTTACGATATTCTGAACCAAAGATTAACCGTATGATAATAGGTCACCCATGACTATGCGCTGATCAAAGACAAACGTTATGGCTGGGGCCTTATGGGCTACTGGGGTGGAATATTGGCTCTTGGCATGATCGTCAAGGCCTGGAAAACATTCCGAGCCCACCTCAATGGCCTCGGACGCGGCGATTCTGAGAAGAGTGGCTTCTATGCAGCTGGTCGTAACTCCTGCGCGCCAGTGGCTGCTATTACTCACTTTGTCCGGACTCACTTTGTCATTCCTGCCAGCTTTGCCCCGAGCCTTTCCAACCACCAGCAGCTCTTCTGGTTCCACACTATCCCAAAACGATTGGACCTGTTGATCGTCTTTGGCTGGTGGGCGGTGTGTATCATCCTGTCCTGCGTTGATTACCAGAGCTTCCGCGGGAACATTCAGTAGGTTTTTTTCATAGATTAGCAGAAATATGTCTAACGGCCATATAGGACGCCGAGTCTCTACGAACAAAATTGGCAATACTCGTCTGATCGGACGGGAATTCTATCTTACGCCTGTCTTCCATTCCTTTGGCTTTTCGGTGGACGAAACAATATCTTCCTTTGGGCGACGGATTTCAATGTCCAATCTTTTAACATCTTTCACCGTCATGTGGCCTGGGCTTGTACTCTTCTGGCTATTGTTCATTCGATCAATTATACAGTGGTTTTCCAGGTCTACGGTTAGTACCCTTCCAATGCAGTTATAGAGTTGATGCTAACAGGCTGGTATATTAGACGGCAGATATCACAGTGCACTCAAGCAGAATTACTTCTACATGGGTATTGTGGTATGTAACCATCGCCGGCGCCATTCCTCTATAATGCTCCTAACATGTCCAAGGCCACGGTAGTGATGTCTGTTATGCTCTTCCAATCCGGCACATGGCTTCGTCAGAAGTTCTACGAAACCTTCTTGATCATCCACGTTGTTCTGGCAATCTTGACCATATACTCTCTATTCCGGTAAGTCCTCTCGAGCACCAAGATGATTCCGTTACTAATAGTTACCAGCCACACTAGCTTTGACGGCACCGTCTACAACGGCTACCTCTGGCCGATGGTCGCCATCTGGGGCTTCGACCGCGCCGTGCGCTACCTCCGCGTCATCTACTGCAACTGGAACGTCCGCTTTGGCAAAGGCTTCATCAATACCACGTCCTCCACCGTGTCCTACAGCCCGGCTAGCGATTTGATCCGCATCGAAATGACTCCCGCCGCCCACAGCCTCACCCCCGCCCCTGGTCAGCACTACTACCTCTACCAACCCTTTACCCTACGCGGCTGGGAGAACCACCCTTTTACTCTGGGATGCTACAACACATCTAGCGCTGAGGCGAAACTCATCTTCTACATCCGGCCCTACGACGGCTGGACCCGGCGTCTCCGCGACCAGTGCCAGAAGTCTGGGGGTAAAGAATTGACCATCACGCCTAGGTTGCTCTTGGAAGGCCCCTACGGCCACCAAGTCCCGCTGCACACGTTCGATACCCTCCTCTTGATCGTCGGAGGCACCGGTATCGCCGCGGCAGTCCCGTACATCATCGACCACGTTTCTCGTTTGGCGGCAGGAGGCAAGACCCGCACCACAAGGATCCACCTCGTCTGGTCCGGCCGCCAGAGACAGATGTTTGATGAAGTCTGCTGCGCGGATCTGGTCACTGCGCTGGAGTGCGCGGACATCCACACTACGCTGTATTGCACGGACAAGAGCAGCATGGGTGCGATGACGACTATTGTCGCCGGCGAGAAGTCCAGCGCTGAAGTCCCGCAGATCGGCGAGGTGGGTGCAGAGACCAAGGAGGCCGGCCAGTTCGTGCAGGATTCCTCCAGTCAGGAGTCCCGACCCATGAAGGTGGAGGATCTGGGTCTGGAGGTGCGCTACGGGCGCCCAGACATCACGGCCACGGTTCAGTCGATTGCAGAGGAGGCCCGAGCCAGTGCATCCCGGTTGGCGGTGTTGACGTGTGGCCCGGCGGTGATGGCGGATGAGTGTCGAATGGCGGTTTATGGGGTGATGAAGGGGGGATTCCGCCAGGTGGAGTACTTCGAGGAGGCTTTCGGATGGTAGACTGGGTCGATCTGCTACTCTGTTCGTTGATGGGGAGAGGGAGGGGATGACTTATGATGTGCTAGCTATCCTTTAATGCACGTAGTTATGTTTATAGTTGTATGGTTCTAATAAAAAGTTCATGATGTTACTCAAGCAAAATTAAGAGCTTCTCTCGTCGACAGGTGCACTAAGATAGATTGCTAGCTCGCTTTAAATCTATAGGCATAGCGCTGTGATTTGAGTCAAATAATTACATAGGGTGGGAAGTATATATTCTAGCTCTCAAAAACTTCTGCCACATGATTAGACATACCGAGTTCACCGAGTCAACCCCGCGCGCCTTGCCATTCCAAACCGGTGATAAAAGTTTCCATTTCTGTCCATCTGGTCAGTGCCCAACTCCTGACTTAGCGAGGGACTCGAAGGAAATCAGAGCCGAGATATCGGAAGCGCACACTGCTGGCACTCGCAAACTGCATCCCGAAACGGCTGGGTGGGGCCCCCGTATAGGGCTGCCAAGAGATCCGAGCTACTCATCAGCCCGGAGCCACTATCCGTAATTCCGTACTGATTTCGCAAGGTGGTACCCAGATTAGTCTTGTGCGGATTTCATTTTTGCTTTAGGATGTTCTATCCGTTTGGTCCATTTCAGCCACCGTAGGAGATAATAAACCGATGGGGAGGGAGCTATGGGCTATCAGACGATCCGGTTATATAGCGTGGCCAACCGCAAAATCCCTGGTTACCAAACAGACAACTTTGCCCATTCCGGAAGGAACGGGAGCAACCGGGCTTAGGGCTATGAGATAGCATTCTGCGTTATGTTCTATTTGTGGGTCCCATAGCATTAAAAAAGCCCATTCCACAACGCATTCCGATATGGTGTAGTGGCTAACATCGCCGTCTCTCACACGGCAGCCGGGGGTTCGATTCCCCCTATCGGAGCTCATTCTCTTTTGCGGTCATCGACTGTTGTTTTGCCTTTTCTGTCTGGGGCTTTGACCTGGCTCATAGCGGCTTTTCACACAGGCTCTTTTCATGCAACATCCGATATGGTGTAGTGGCTAACATCGCCGTCTCTCAGTGTGCTCGGTGCACGGCAGCCGGGGGTTCGATTCCCCCTATCGGAGTGTCTATTGAAGCCTTCGGGCTTGACTTTTTGGGGTTTTGTTTTGTAGCTGCTCTTTTGTTGCGCGTGGGGGTTGAGTGTTGCCACGGTCTGCGGGCTGAGTGCTGGGTGCTGGGCGCTGTGCTGCACGGTTGTCGTGTCAAATTGCAGTTGCCTTTCTGGGGTTGAAATATATGCTCGACTCTCGCATCCATGTCGGAGGTACAAGAGTACCGGGTGACTGAGAGGCGACGGTGGGAATAGTGAAGGAAGAGGGAGCAGGGGAAGCTATTGGTGTAGTGCGGTGTTAATACTGACTGTGTCTAGTGTCTTAGATGTCAAGAGGTAAGTGACAATTTGACCAAGGCGGTTCGGGACAGGCGAATAGCAGCAGGATGGTGTTGAAGAGTATATTGTGTTAGGATGGCTGGCAAAGACGTTGATCTGGATTCAATGTGTGCAATACTTGCCAGGCATGGCATACTATTTTTAAATTGTTTGCAGTTTGGCGAGCCTAATATGAATTGTTCGAGTCTCATTGTTTCTACACGGAGGGACGAACCGGCAATAGCCGCTTATATATCTAATCCCAAACCGGCTTCGGGATATCCAAGGTCTGCCTTTTGTTCCTCTCTCAGCCTCTGCACAGGAAATGGAAGGCAAAATTGACTGTCGAGACAGGGGAAAAAGGAAGCTTCAATGCTTGCAGGTACCAAGCTAAAAGTAGGTAGATATGGTATGTCTGTTATCAGGCTTCTGCCGCCGCATGTTGCACCGTAGCTCGGTTGGCTTCCGAGCAGGAAAATACGGACAAAAATATCAAAAGAGATGAGCTCCGATAGGGGGAATCGAACCCCCGGCTGCCGTGTGAGAGACGGCGATGTTAGCCACTACACCATATCGGATGTTGTGTGCAGTATGGCGCAGACTCTGTCTTCATACCCCTAAACATTCCAGGTACATGCTCAAGCCATATTGTCTTTCTTCTCTTAAAGGCCTTGGTCGCACTTGCCGGTCAAAAAAATAGCATCGGACGAAGCTCTAAGAAGTGGTGCTTACAGGCCACCAATATGGCTTCCAAAGCCAAATAGCTTCCCGAAGAGAGCCGGTCATAATCGTTAATCAACTTCGTCTAAATCACAATGTTCCGTCCCCGAAGAGGTATTCCAGGAGGCTCTCAGGAGAGGGTGCTCCCCAAAGCACGTTCGCGCGAGGCTGATCGGTCGTTTTTCTGGGTGGGTTGAGGGAGAGTGCTCTGTCCGTGGTTGTATAGAGATGGAGGCTGACTCCGACTCTGCTGGGGCTGGTCCCATAGACTGATCGCATTTCGCATGAATGGGTCCACATTCTTTTTGAGAGCCAGAATGGTCACGTTCACGCCATTTCTCAATGGCCTCAACGCAGAGTTTGACATGAGGGTGGTCCGGTCCTAACACTTTCTTGCGGAGCTGGAAGCATTTTGCCATCAAGGCCAACGCATCTTGGTCTTTCCGGAGTCCTTTCAATGCGTATGCGAGGTTGCGCATGCTGGTAAGCGTGTCAGGGTGCTCGGGCACCAGGAATGTCTTGTATCCTTCTAATGCTTGCTGGTTTATAGCCTCCGTCTCGAGGTACTTGCCCTGATAGTGAAGAACAAGACCAAGATTATCAGCATTGGTAAGAGTTTGTGGATGCTCTAGTCCTAGAACTTTCTTACTGAGCTCTAGGGCTTGTCCCAGCATGGTTTCTGCATCTTCATATTTGCCCTGATAACAAAGAACCGGCCCTAGCATACTCATGCTAGAAATAGTATTAGGATGCTCTGGTCCTAGGACTCTCTTGTAGCCTTCGAGGGTTTGCTGATTTGTGACTTCTGCCTCCCGGTACTTTCCCTGATCCCGGAGTACAGTACCATGCAGGGTACAACAAGCAAGTGTATCGGCATGATCTGGCCCTAGAGTTTTCTCCCTCCAGTCTAGCACCCGCTGGTTAATGGCTTCCGCCTCCTTAGCCTTGCCCTGGCCTTGAAGTACCAAAGCAAGGTCATAAGTACTACGTAGAGCATGGGGATGCTCTAGGCCTAGAACCTTTTCCCTTTTTTGTAGTGCTTTCCGAATAAGGGCTTCTGCCTCTTGAGATTTCCCCTGGTACAGCAGCAGCGAACCAAGAATGCTGAGACTCGTAAGACTATCGGGATGCTCTGGTCCCAGAAGTCTTTCATAGCCTCTGCCTCTCGATATCTCGGTACTGAAGGACCAATGCAAGATTATCAGCGGTAGTAAGCGTATGGGGTGATCGAGACCTAGAGCATCTCTATAGCCGTCTGGTGTTCGTTGATATGTTATCTCTGCTTCCTTGTATCCCCCAGGTCGTGTAGCACTAAGCCTAGCTCGCTGACGCAGATTAGCGTGTCGAAATGCCGCGGTCCTAGCCTTTTCTCTTGGATCTCTAGGCAATCGAGAAACAGAACTTTTGCGTTTTCATGTCTCCCGTCAACGCGCAGAGACTTCCCCACCCTTATGATGAAGTCGCCGTAGTCATGACGAATCTTTTGAAACTCCCCACTTTCTTGAAGAAAGAGTGTGTGAGGAAGATTGCTCCTCCACAATGCTCGATTTTCGGGATCAGTCGAAGGGAAGATATCATCCAGGCGTTGCATCGTTTTTTGTACCCAAAGGCTAAGGAAGCCCGCTTTGCGTAGCCAATTCTGCACTGCAAGGTGCACAAGTCGGTGGAGACTGAATGAGCTGTTGCAGGCATGTAGACTGATAAATGAATATGCATTCAGGAGACCAAGTGCATCCGCATGCTTTTTTGCCGAAGGCGCAGGTGGAAGGATTGACTGCGGAATATCCTTTGGACTGATACAGGAAATAAATGACAGATAGTCAGTCGCCAGTCGATTAAGTTCTTGGATCTGCTGGAAAGAAATGAGCCAGGTCGTGATGACTGGGTTCTGATTACCCTCGCTGTCGAATTCCTCACTCATCAATTCGATCGCAGTGGCTTCCTTCTCTTTGAAGATGAACAGATAATCAGATAGCTCGATGTCGTTCTCATTGATATAATCCGCGGCTTGAGCGATCGCAAGAGGAAAAAAATCAAGCTGTTCCAGGAATGCCAATGTGAGAAGATCATCTCGTAGCAACCCCTTCTGGACAAGCAGGGTTTCTAGCATTTTTGATGCAGTGTCTTTATCAACATCAGGGATGGATAGCACCTCAGGTGATGCCAACTTTATCGCAAGCTTTCGGTTTCGGGAAGTAAAGACAATTTGACCATTTGCACTCCTAGGGAGGATGTCTCTAAGTGGCGGTGTCGTCGCAGTCCCTTTCATCCACATCTGCATGTCATCTGCATTGTCGAAGATCAAGAGCCATCGTCTCGTGCCTTGTCTTTCAAGATAAGCTTTGACTTGCTCTTTCACCTTTGTCGGTTTCACAGCGGTAATATTAAAAGATCCGCGATCTGCATGTATGCTTGATCCACAGTTTCGTAGCTGGTACAAGGGATCCAAAAGATAGAGCACCCAGGGACCTCTTTCCTTGTTCGATACACCATTTCTAGTGCGATTTGGGTCTTTCCGATCCCTCCCAGACCATAAATGGCAATCCTCGCCAGTCCGTCTGAATTCATAATGAGTGATTCAAGATGGCTAATCTCGTGCTGCCGGCCGACAAATCGATCATTTCGGGAGAACGGAACCATCCACCTGTGAGCCTCCACAAAGTAATCGCTTCGATCGTGTCTGTCTGGAGGGACCACTTTAAGAATATTTCTAGCGACAGCAGCGGCAGTAAGAGCTGCATATCCTTGCCATAGCTTTTGCTTATGGGAGTCACAGTAATCACAAATGCCACGAATGACCAGACATGGCAGCTGATCCATTAGACCAGCTGCCTCCATTTCGAAGCAGAGTATACCCAGCTTCTAGCATTGATGTCTCGTGTCCTAGCATTTTTCATAACTTGATTGCCAGACGCAATTAGACCATAATGAATAAGCGGTTCGTTCGACACCCGGGGTACGCGATCCAATAATCGGAGACCCCAGTCTAGGTTGCGCCATGGCACCCAAGCCCGCGCAACCAATGAGCACTTGGAGTTCTAGCTGCTGGTAGAGAATATTCTGGAGGGATCCACTAATATTCTATATGTTCTTTTAGCACTAACACCCTAAATAAGCTACATGTGTAACAGAAGAAGTATGGGTGAGATCTAGTTAGTTATTCAAGCGGTTAATCGTAATCTGACTATCGTTGTTCCATATACACTCGTAACCAACAAAAATACATGAAGAGCAATACTGCCCACACTGTCCATGGAGGTCTGGCGTGAGCTCGCTAGCTGCTATAACCTCGAGCCCTCCAAAGAAGCATCCATCGAAGCCTCATAATTGTACACAACAACGAGCCGATGCCAAGCTGCCATCCATGTGCACAGGGCGCAACAAACTTTAACATCGGGATGAACCAGCTGTAGAGTGTGTACAACGGAAGGTTGTCTAATAGTTGTGTAGATGATTCTAGGGTTATTGGGTGCGGGGCTATTAGTAAATAATCTTATACTTCTTGCTTCTTGCCGGTCGGCTGCGGGAAATACCCACCGTCTGCTAATCTCGGAGTGTAGTTTGTAAATCGCGGTTGAAGCCATTGAGAAGTCGACACGGCTGGCCTTTCCCACTTTGTATTAGAGGAGGCAATGCTATTCATGCAGAAAGGTCATAGTCCACATCACTCCACTCCTGCAAAGGTTTGTGTGCTTTTCATGAGCTGTTTGTGAGTGCTAGGGATTCTTGTGATCGAACTATTTAACACCCAGATGGGACGTGGCCGTATCTTAGTTTAGTGCACTTCTGGCAGTCGGATGTATTTGAGGTTCAGCGCAAAGCCGCGTGTGGCTTTCCGGACCCAGGATTGCTACTTCCACCAATTCACGAGGTTTCAGCACTGGAATAACCAGACGTGCATTGCTCGGGTGCACAGCACAATTAAATGATGTGAGCGTTCATGACAGTCTGAATGCCCCTGCAACGTGTTCGTTACGCGTGATTCCTGGGGCAGACGTCGACAAACAGCGAGACTGTCGTGATTTGAATTGCGCGCGTTTTGACACATCTGAAAAGATGATCTGATGTGTTTCAGTACGACAATCAGTCGTAGTGTATGACATCGCAACTGCCCGAGGTCACCGCATCCTTCTGTTTTCCGTTGCCAAATCCCCTTCAACATGAGACTCGAGCTTGCCGCCGCTCTCTAGCAACAAGAATACTCCTCTCATTTAAATTCTCCGGTCCAGCCTGATGAATATGGCTTCACTGGCATTTGTGCCCGCAGGGTTGCACAAGTTCAGAACAGGATCAAGAGCTAGAAATGAGAAATCGCCTTCTTTCGGCTTGTCTCACGACTCTGAATAATAAGGGAGAATGATTGTCTTCTCTTGGGATTGAGCTGGTGTGCTTCGCCACACCATACTTGTCGAGTGTCAGTTCGAGAGTGTCGGTTCGGGAGTGTTAATGACACCGGATTGAAACTTCCATTTCGATGCCGGGCATGTCTGGCAAGACCAGGGCCAGTGAGAAATGCACACATACAGTAATAGCCGTGTCGAATTGCTGCATGGCAGAGCAAACTGGTAAGAGCTCGAGGAATATCAGTTCCAAAGCTCCTTTTTTTCGGAATGGTCAGATTTGATGACACCACTCTTGGTACTCCAGGACCATGGACAGTAGCAGGTCCATGTTGCCCTGAGATAATCCGACCCGCTTTGCCGAAGGTATGAGGAAGTTCTCGGACTGGCTTCGACTTTGAATCGTTGTCTTCGCCACTGAAAAGCAGATTCTTCGAATTGATGACCCGTCTCTTCCAGACATAGTTATCAAACGCGCGTAATCGCCTAGGGTCGGGCCATAACGTTGAGTATAGGGCCATAGATATGATAATCCCGGAGAATTTCCGGAGACTCAAGTTATCGCCATGTGTCGATGTGGTTTACTACTCCAATTTTTACGTTTTCATCGCGCCCACAGGCGATTCTTATTTCGTGAGTCCTTGAAGGCCCCTTTTCTCTCCCAATCCAGAACAGCGAGTAGTTTCTCGTCCAGATCGTCCCAGTCATCGTCTTCTCTACTCGGGAGAGACTTCCGGTAATCATTGTTGATCATAGAGGCAGGCATGGTACGCGGCGCGGTTCCCGACTTCCTGCTGCTGTTGTTGTTGCTAGGGTCACCTGGAAGCTATCTGGAAGCCACCGAGACACAGGAGAGTGCTGTTGTAGACTCAGAAAGAGGAGAGCAGAAAACGAGACGGATCTGAGGGAGGTGAGTGATGCAAGAGAAGGCACACTGAGGGAAGCATGAGAGTTGTAACAAGGTTGAAGCGCGGAGAAAAGGACGGTGATCGAAAAAGACGAGGTAGCAGAAGCAGGTAGAACAGAAGAGGTAGGGAGACAGGGGAGTGAATGACGAGGCTGGTTAAAAACCCACGAACGCCCACCACCTCATGCTACCAATGCCCATTGATACAAACAGTTTCAAAAAATCGCCGATAACGAAAGAGGACAGGAAAAAACGTGTTTCAAGGAGCTTCCTATCTCTGTTCTTCTGGTGGGTACGGTATCGCCGTTCAATGTACTGTGCGTCCTTTACCAATAGCCACTAGCAGGATCAATAATGGCGAAGCCGAAGATCACAAACATGTCTTAACAGGTGAGTGAGTTATCTGTAGGCAACCAGTTCAACTCCTGGTCAGCGATACATATGCCTGTCTTCCTCAGTGCGGAACGGTCGAACAGCCAGGTTCCACGTCTTCGTTGCGCGGACGACCCTTTTCCCTTTCAAAGCTTTCGGCAACGACTTTGAAAGAGTGGTGACATAGTTGTGTAAAGCGGCACGCATCAAGTCATCAATTGTGATGAGACTCCAGATTCGTGCGTGGTACTGCCACATTGAGGTAAATTGTCATGCCCAGGCAGCAGGCTTTCACCGGTGCAAATCCTCTTGGAGTACCTAGTCGTCGCCTTCTCGAACCAGACCCGCGGCTATGATGTGGCTTCGCAATGCGACAAGTGGGTCCGAGAGGTTGGTATGCTGTGCATAAGAAAAAAGCGGCAAAATGGAAGAGTATTCTGGGCCACTGCGACAACCAGGTGCAAGAGAGTGCAGTGTCTGGTGGTGGCGTTGAACGCACCATCTTGATGAGGCGCCGAGATCTTATATGCAGCGTATCGAATACCCAGTGCCGAAACATGCGCGCGAAGGTAACGCGGATTGTTTCTGGAAACCTTCAAAGCGCCAGACCCTCTTGGAGCGGTGATAATGACAAAGCAAATGGATGAGGGGCTGATTTTCCCGCTCGACTATGCGCAAGCCTGTCATTGAGGAAGATTTTCGGAAACTGAAAGTGGTGACGCGATATGGTTTGCGGTCAACAAAGAAAGTAGTAGACGGCCTTTGTCTGTGTCGCACTTGCCAGCTACATGCGTTCAGTGGGTTGAGTATGTCACACATTATGGGCTGGGAGCTTTGAGCTCCATTGCCCTGAATAGCTTTCAAAGCACCTCAAGCTGGCGTAGGCTTCTCTCTGGCCCCAGTGAATGATGATATGACCGGTCCGAGATGACGAGCTGTCCCATCAACGTGTGTCAGTCGAGCTGGGAACTCGCTCCACTATCGCATGAGTGGGATATTCACAGTGCCTATGTCCTTACACTGCTTCTTAAGAATCATGTTCTTGGCCCTTCCTTTGGAGACGATGCCGCAAATCTCGTTCCAACTGAGATTCAACCGGATCAACAATCCTCGGCAGCACAGTCCTCTGGGTGTAACTGTAAATCCCTAAGAGCTCCTAGGTTCGCGTGGTTTGCTTTCCCCGCCTGAACCACATGTATCTGTCCTCCGAGGCCTTGATGTTCCCTATCTCATGGTTGTGGCCCGCGAGGTAAGAGACTTTGAACTGCAACTGAGCATGGTTGTCCGTTCCGGTGCGGAGGCCGAGCTTCGAGGCGAGTAACTTGAGGTATAGGTAACATAGGATGGCTCGGCGCTCGGTAATTTTGATCAATCGAGGAAAGTGAATTCGTCTCTTCTTCACTCTGCTAGTCGTTATTCTTGAGGAAGGAGACACCAGGCGGTTTCCAAATGAATCAAGTCGGCGTTGGAAGATGAACCTTCATAATCATCTCGGTTGCAACGACATTCAAGCGGGTGGGCTACAAAGAGACAGCCCCAAAGATACCCCTGGAGAATGCACTCTGCGCAGGCACTGCCAAACCAGCTGGGGAGGCGGATACACGCGCAAAAGGCATGGGGACGAGTAACGGTGGAGGATATTATGCAGTAATGACATGGTGCGAGTGTGACGAACCATTGCAAAGGCGTCGAGGTCAGTTGAGATAGGAGAGGATTGACTCCGTTGAGGCGATATGTCATTAACATATGCAATGAGTAAAGATGCCAGAGCTCAAGGCATTTTCGCTCTTTCCTTCTGTTTCAACGTGTGGTAGTAGGTGTGGATGTAGTCTAGATGACTTGCCTCGGTTGATGGAGTTTCGTCTAGACATGCAAAACACCTGATATCTGAATCGTGTCTTCTTATCTTGACATCCCGATTTGGACATTAAGACTCAATCCCAGCTGTGGCTAGCTAGTGTACCAACCTCGTCGAGGCGGCGGCTCATCGCGACGGACTTTGACTCGAAAGAGCCACCGCTCAAAAGCAGTCGGTTTGAGGTTGGTTGGCCATTCGGTTCTTGGGACGAGCGGTTGGTCGTCATGGTGCCATTCTTGATCCGGCATCTTGTCGCATATGGTGGGCGGGTCTGGGCTGGCGTGGATCGGTGCTGTTTATGCTTTCGGGTCCCAGATACTTCATATCATATTTCCTCGGGCTCGAAACAATTTCCAGGGTCTTTGTTTCCAGAGGCATGTTGCTGTCTTGGATCATCAAGTTTAGTAAGTGACTAGCATTCCAATGTTGCGGAAAGTGTTCGCTCTGCGCAGCTGCCAGAACAGCCAAAGGCACTTGATGTATGTGGCATACAATGGCTGCAGGCTCTTCGCCTCTTTGATCCAGTTACGTCTGCTGCGGCGAAAGTTTCTCAGCACAGGAGGTAATCTCTCATCGCTTGTCGCTGGAGAAATTGTGTTCTCATCACGCGTGTGGCGCACTTTCTGGCTCTTTATTGTGCGGCAAGGCCTCGGGGCAGGATTCCTGCCGTCTGAAGGAGGGATTCCCAGAGTTACCACCAGGGGAGATTTCGCAGCGAAGCTCGGCATGCTTCCGCAGGAATGGCCTCAGGACCACTCTCTAGCGGGTATTGTCGTTTTTGATGGAGCTGCCAGCCAGCATTTTCCGTGGACATCGAACTCCCTGGCCGCCAAGTCCGTCGCGGTCAACGAGACTGCTTCATCGGACGCGAACTTCATTCTGACCATGACTGAGAAAAAAACTGTCAATGGCGATAGAACTGCAGGGGTAGCCACCTTTAGCGCACAATTAGATCTTGACTGAGAGAGAAGATCTTCCGCATATCAAGTTTCTCCTTTCGTGGAAGTCAGCTGTCGGCCCGGGCTATTTTTGTTTACCCATCTGTCCTTCCTTGGTCACAGAAGGTCATTGCCCGTTACTACCTTTTTGACATCTTGAAAATAGACGTGCTGGCAGGCTGAACAACTAATCCTGCTGCCGACCAGAACATCGACATGTGCGAAGGGTGCTTCGCCCCCTGAATTGCAGCTCTGCTTGGTCAAGTTGAGAGCACCCGCCATATGTGCTTTAAGCTTGACCCTTATCATAGCGGGGCCCCGGTAAGAGAAATCCTTATTGAAGTCCGCGTTGGTTATTCGTAACGAGCATTCCCGTGACTGCTCGTCGGACACATATTATCCAGTCCCACTTTTTATGCAGTCACAGATAGGGAGTCGGCATATACTTCAGTCAGTGAGCCATGTTCCGTGGACTGCCGGTTCAACGACGACAAAGGTTGCTTCACACCGAGCCATGGCTTTGCGATGAATGCCCACCGCAGTGCAGAAGGATATTTCCATATGGTTTCCTCCACTGATATACAACGAACCAAAGTGATCCTGCTGCTCAGACCAAGAAGAACAATCGGGCAATCGACCTGATATATCATCCAAATTTTATCGTCCTGTGTTCGGATAGCTCCGAGCTGTTTTTTTGCTCAAAGGTGCGGCCTCTTTGTAAAGCCGAAGTACGTATCACATGCAGCGTCCGGCTCATCACCTACCATGTCACCGATAGCTGACACGATGGTCATGCTATCCGGCTGGATTGAATCCAGGAAGTCAAGTTTCATGAGCCATAAAAGGCGCTGACCCACATTTCAATGAGTTCCTGGCCTTATAAGCCGAACCCTTTCAAGCCGATAGTGTCGGGACAGAGACCAAGCTCAATCCTGCACAGACAAAGCAATCATAAGTTAGCATAGAGTGTTTTGGTAAACCTCTATATGTGGCATGTGACGGACTCGTTTCTACCCACCGGAATTGGGGGCGCAGCAGCAGCCGAGTCTCAAGGTTTTTTATATGGGCTTCGGCCAAGAAGTAGGTAGCAGTTCTCAAGGCAGCTCCTCATTTCACTCCGCGCGATAAAAGCCCCAGATGCACATGATGGATGATCTCGACGAGAGTCTCTTCATAAATGGGCACCACCTGGCCCCTGGCCCCTCCGCCACATCTTTTTCCACGCCTTCTTTCATGCCCTCTACCGCGTCCTGATCCACGACCTGTTCCACATCTTGATTGACTTTCTGAGCCACGTTGCTCTCCGCCCTCTTCCTCTTACGGTATTTCTTTTTTCTGCTCCCTGATGCGCGCCATCTTTTCTTCAGAGTAATTGGGATGAAACGAGCATTCGCCTTTGGCACCCTCCAAACGTGCAATTCGCGCAGCACCGCCGATTGCGTTGTCGGGCAAACCATCCCTGAGAAACAACAAAGGTTTGAAACCTTCTTTCATTCTGACTCTCCTCAATGTTGTGTTCGCATCAAGGCTTGATACCTCAACTCCCTAACAACAATTCAGGTTCAGACATAGCTCTTCTGTGCCATGGTGGTGGACGCGATGCGGCACCATCCCTCGGGTATATCTGGGGTGCGAGGCGCTCGGCTCTGTATTCAGCTCCGCCCCCTGCTCGGCAAGGAGAAGAGCCTGCCAACACATCAGCTCCTCGTTGTTGGCTTCACGCTGTTCCTGGGTCCGTGTTAAGGGGGGCGGCGGCCCGGTTTGCTTTCCCCCAGTAGAAATGCGATGACGCTAGCTGATTGATAGATGGTTCTGTTAGCTGACTGTGGCAGATCCTCGTCATTGATAACAACGCATTATCGCCACTTCCCCAGGCTCCTTTGGCATCGCAGGCATGATTGGGCATGCGGCAGGATGGATCCGCGTGTGTGGAGGAGTTTTACTTCGCGGACGTATGGGCTGTTCTCGTATTTGCCGTAGAAACAGTCAATGTCGATCCGATCTCTGGTCGGCGGTTGCCCCGGACTTCCGACGAACTGGACAAGTGGCGCTCGAACGCGGATGTCATTTTCGCCCACTCGATTTCCGGAATGATAGACTTGTCATCCAGCATTTGGAATCATAAGCCAGGGCCAGGGATTTAGAGGCTCGACCTTTCAAGGTTCTCACATAAGTGGAAACGGTAGGGGCGGAGGACGGCGGAGAACGGCCGCAGCTGTGTTCAGGAAGCGATTCGACTGTCGGGGGCTGGAAAGAGTCGAAGAGGACTTCTGATAGCTGCCGGGGACTGTGGGGAGCTGGAGAAGCTGTCGACAGTTGTAGGGGCTGGTGACATTCCTTTGTCGGTAAATAGCTAGGACTGACGGACCCCTGCTCGACAGATTGTGGACGGTTGGCGCAGGGGGGCCCGATGGGCCGTCAGTGACAACGAATGCGGTTCGAGTTTTGATAACTTCGTTACAGCTCAACAACCGGCTCACCTGCTGGCACAATGGGTAGCTGGGGGCTCGGACTGACATGTCAAGACTGTAAACATTCCCTTGCACTTCACGTGCATGTTCCTCTCAAAGATGGCGAGTCATTCGATCAATATATAGTCATTGGCCGAAGTCCGAAAATTAGCGCAATCATAGGGTTGAATGGCTCGCAGGGTCAAGACCATAATGTAGGGCCACCAAGAGTCTTCTTGGGCACTCCGTAAGCACAGACAGCTCGACCCTTTGTCTGTCAAATTCAAAAAGGCTAGAATAAACCGGTAGCACGGCGATTAGACCATCGATATAGCTAGGAAAAGCGGCGTGGTTCCTGAGCCGACTTTGTACCCAGCGGGACCGTTGTGATATAGTGATCAAGGCCGCTCCTGTTCGGGTCATCTTCTGGCTACTTGGAGTTGGTCAATTGGACCTCGATGCCAGTAGCAAATTTGAGCGCTTCAATGCGTATAAAGGTAATTGAGCCGATACGTAGACAGAGTCATAGGTGGCTTTGGTAAAGACCCAATTCGCGCCAGCTCAGGTGACGATTTCGAATTAGGGCTCAGAGTTAGATCCACCGTTGCGGAGTTCATCGAGACTGCCTATTTGAGATCCTTCTAGCTCACGGCGCAGGCTCAAGTTATCCAAGTCCTCCTGTACTGGGTCACGGGATTCAGTGAGACAAAGAATCGAGCTCTTCTTCCACAAAAAGTCGTTATCCCCATTGATAATGAGGGCCTCGATTAAGGCACTACTATTGGCATCATAAAGGATTGACCAGAAATGTAAGCCCGGCTGATGGACAGGAAAAGATCTAGTAAATTCAGGCAACTTACATCGTCTCAGACCAGGCTGCCAACATCTGTGCAGGACCACGAGGAGGAGGTGGTGAACACCATATAAGAAGTCAGCACCGCTCTCAATGAGCTTTGGTGTAACATCGATATCAGCGACTCAATCAATCCTTACGGAACAAAACTGAGCGCCGTTGTGTGTAAATCCCTTCCTGGATAAGGGCGGCCGCATCTGAGTCATTTAGTATGCAATGTCGAAAACATGGCTTTTTTAAGATTCTGGGTAGCATAAAATTGCCAAAATAGCGGCTATTCTCTTTGACTCCTCTAGCCGTTAGGGCGAAGAGATTTGCTGATATTGTTCAGCACGATGGTTCGAGTTAGTGGAATAGATCAGAAATCTACGCACTAGCTGTTAAGCTTTCGGTGAGTTTCGTCAAGCTGCCACTTTTAATGATAAGATTGTCCATACGATTCCGTCGACGCCGCGACCCGGTCGAGTGGCATCAGTGCCATAGGTTCCCTAGGAAGGCTCAGGCTATTAGACCATGGAGCTCTGGATAAGCAGAGAAAAATAAAGGGAAGGCTTACAAGTGCTTTGGCCCCACGATTCAACATCGCAGTTATGATGGTGAGCCTTAGGCTTCCCTCGCAATTCTCTGGGTCCTGCACAAGCCCCCTCATGGATTCCATCGGTCTCATTTGAATATGAAGACTAAGGAAAGGCAATGATCACTTTGCACGGCACTGTGTCCAGTGAGAGCGATGATTTCGATAGGGTTCCACTTCGACAAACAGTGGGTAAGAGCTTTGCAGTAGGGGTACGATAAGATGGAGTGCAAAGTTTGAGGTTATAAAGGTGATTCGCAGGTGAGAGGTTTTATGTGGAAGTGGTGTAGCGATTCGTTTACGGAGTGCGTTTGTTCATCTCAGGTAATTGTGCCGATCAATCCCCAAGCTCGCAATGCAAGAGCGGCCCTATGCCTGCTAGATCCAGCTCGTGTGGACATGGGTTTGGCTTTGCCTGTAAATTGTGGGCTCGCATACGCTGCTTTTTTCTCTGTAGGCGTAAGCCACGCCCACCCTCACACAGCCCTGCTTGATCGTGGTTATATAAACCTCTATTTGCTCTCAATCATGGCAAGATCGCAAGCGTATAGTCGCAATGTTGGCAGATTGACAAGAAGCCACAGGTACTGTGATACGCGCAGAATGAGTGTCATCTCGTCAATCCAGTGTATCTCGACTGAACTCAGATTGCAAGCAGATCATGACTCCGGACTCCCCCCCGTCCCGCCCCGGGTGTTCCAGACTGTGGTATAAGAGACGCATATTGACCTGATGAAGATGTGGCGCCGTGGAATACATCAGAAATCAGGACCGTTGCAGAGCGGTTGCTAGGAGGCAGGGAATGGTCAACGCTGCACAACGACTCTCCAGAGGAAGTCATCCAGGAGAAGAGGGGATCACATACCAGCGGATGCATGAGCTTGTTGTAAAAGACCAAGACACCATAGTCAATCAGAGATAGGCGAGCTTGAAGCGACTTCCCGAGCTACAGAACAGCGGATGCCAGCTCGCGGATGCCGTTCTTACTCAGAGAGCATAGCTCCAACACTGAAACTCGATTGAGACACTATAGGAGGACATAAGTTCTTGCAAACCGTTCTAATCTTGGAATAAAAGAATGTAGGCAATGGCGCCTTCCATCCTTTGAAGAGCACAATTCATATTGCACTGTATCGGTAGCTTGAGTA